AATTCTTAAACCGGGCAGGCCTCTTACTGGGGGCAATCACCAGTATAGCGGGGGGAAAGGGTTAAAGTAAAGAACTTATTTTAAAATTGGTTTTTTTTTTAAATGGGGGAAAAAAAAAAAAAAAAAACTAGGAGACTAAGAAAAGAACAAAAGCACTAAAAACCAGCTAAGAACGCATTTCTAAAGAAGTAAAGTATCCTTGAATAGACTGCTAATTGCTCTGTCTCTAGCCAGGGGCAGTTGAGAAGGAACTGGGGGGGGGGGGGGGTGGCCGGAAAAAAGAAAAATAGCGCCGGGGGGGAGCATGGGGGGGGGGGGGGTTGGAGCACCTGTGCAGGCCAAAAAGACACTGCTACCAAAGATCTCTGATCAGAACCGCGGGGATGCACCTGCACATACACTTACCGTGGAGGGACATTACTTGAAGAATTGCTGCCTTCCATTTAAGATAGTTGTAGTAAACAGTTAAATTCCTTTATGGAACCAGATGAATGAAACAACAGCGGCCTCCACCACAAGGGCACACCTCACCATCCAAAACAAAGGCACATGTAAGCAAAGAGGTTGCGCTGGCTGTGGTTCTGTGAAGGTCTGCGTGTCTCTGAAAGAGTGGGAGTAACGCCACAGAAGGAGACCAAAGTCTGGTCTCCTCTGAAAAGTTAGGTTGACATAACTACAGCACTCAGGCATGTGAAACCGTCCTAACTCCCAATATAGATACACCTTGTCATAAATATAAAGGGAAAGGTAACAACCTTTATGTATGCAGTAACATAAATCCTTCCTGACCAGACATATAGAATCACTTACCTGTAAGGGGTTAATCAGTTCAATTAACCTAGTTGGCACATGACTAGAAGGACCAAAGGGGAAAGAAGATACGTTCAAATCTGAGGGGGGATGGGGCGGGAGGTTTTGTTTGTGCTCTCTTTGTTGGTTCCCTCTTGGGACAAAGAAAGAGACCAAGCAGGTAACCCAGCTCCTAAAAAGATTCTGAACTGATACAATTTCTGTAATTTTTAGATGTAAGTAATAGTGAGGAAATGCATTAGATTATCTTTTGTTTTAGCTTGTGAATTTTCCCTATGCTAAGAGGGAGGTTTATTCCTGTTTTTGTAACTTTGAAGTTGAGCCTAGAGGGGAATCCTCTGTGTTTTAAATCTTTTCATTTACCCTGTAGAGTTATCTTCCATCCTGATTTTGCAGGTGTGATTCTTTTACTTTTTTTTTTTTAATAAAATTCTTCTTCTAAGAACCTGATTGATTTTCAGTGTCCTAAAAACCAGAGATTTGGTCTGTGCTCACTTTGTTAACCTATCGGTTGGTATATTATTCTCAAGCCCCGCCAGGAAAGGGGGTGAAAGGGCATGGGGGGATATTTTGGGGGAAGATAGGGCTCCAAGTGGCCTCTCCCTGAATGTCTCTTTAAATCACTTGATGATAGCAGCAATACCGTCCAAGGACAAGGAAAGGAATTTGTGCCTTGGGGAAGTTTTAACCTAAGATGATGAAATATAAGCTGAGGGAGTCTTTCATGCGGGTCCCCACATCTGCACCCTAGAGTTCAGAGTTGGGAGGGAACCCTGACACACCTAGATTGACAAAAGAATGCTACTGGTACTTGAGGAGACAGAACTCCTACAGCGATGGAAAAACTCCTTCCGTCCACGCAGTCTGCAGCTACGCCATGTGGTTATGTAGTAGTAAGATTTTATGTTTGTATTTTGTATAATTTAGAATGAAGGATAAAGAATAATAATGTAGCATGTATGAAATGTATTGGTGTATGATTTGACCATATCCTGCCAGCCACCCTTTCTGAAAGCAGAAAGGAATGGCCTAACGGGCCATTGGTAGAGATGCATCAGCCAGAATCTGTGGCTGTGCTGATTTCAAGGCAGTGACAGACCTTTTACGGTCACCACTTAGTTGGGCCTTGGCTACACTTGTGAATTACAGCACAATAAAGCCTCCCAGAGCGCTGTACCTCACTCTCCGTCCACACTGGCAAGGCACGTACAGCGCTGTATCTCCGTGGCTACAGCGCTGCTGGTACTCCACCTCCCAGAGAGGAATAACGTTTGCTGCGCCTTGGCTACAACTCCCGGGTATCAGTGTGAACGAGGAGTTAATTTACTGCTCTGTGATAATCCCCTTATCAAGTGGCCACTCTTCTCATTGTTGTGATCGGCTGCAGGAATGCGGAAGTGCCTTCAAAGCTCCATTTCAGAGAGAAAAAGCAAACATTTTTCTGTTTACTTTGAGTGAGTGAGTGAGAAGCAGGGGGAGAGGGGAGTGTGAACTTACAAGATAGTGTGCTGACACACTCCAAAAACCCACTCTCTCTCCCCCCACACTCCACCACCACGCCTTTTTAAAGGCACGTTGCAGCCACTTGAATGCTGGGATAGCTGCCCATAATGCACTGCTCCCAATGCAGCTGGGAATGCTGCAAATGTGGCCACGACAGTGCGCTGGCAGCTGTCAGTGTGGACAGACTGCAGCGCTTTCCCTACTCAGCTGTACGAAGGCGGGTTTAACTCACAGCGCTGTACAGCTACAAGTGTAGCCATACCCTTAGTTGTAGGTTTAGCATTTTAAAATAAGTAAAAGAATGCAATGGTTGTTTTACTCTTGCATTGCAATTTGATGTTCCTGTTCAAATGTTCTGAGTAAATCAATTCCGTTTTGTGTGTGAGGTGTGTGTGTGTTAAAAGATAAGCGTGGAGGTCATCACCAGACCAAATGTTCTAGGGAGGAACCGAAGACAGACACAAGGGCGCCAGGAGGTTGCAACACGTCCCTGTTGAAATGTCAGAGGAGGGCAGATTGACGACTCTAAAGATGAGACAGGCACCTATCAATGGGGACAAGATAGCTGTAATCAAAACAAGCATGGGGTAACTCCCTAAGAAACTTGATGAAAGAACAAGATAAAGGATGAAACAATAATTTAAGAAAACAACCACTTGTCAAACAACAACTGATTACAGCATGACGGTGCAAAACTCATTGGTCCCAATGAAGAAAAATCACTATATAAAACAGGGTGCCTTGCCATGAAACTTTGGGTTCATCCTGCCAAGACTTCCCCAGAGCATCATGTCAGGACCAACAGAACCCGGCTCCTCCCTACGTGTGATCAACCTTGCTGGGCACTACATTGATCCGGACTCTGGAAGCAAAGAAGCACCAGAACAGACCAAGGGAATCAGGGGCAGAAAAGCCAGGAGGCAGTCAGAACAAGTAGCATATTTTTAAAAGCCAAACTGAAGCAGCTTGTCCACTGGACCATGACAAAGCAATCCCTACATCTGACATATCTCCCTGCCAAGTTTCAACCACTTCATTGGCAGAGCTGTTAAAAGAAAGAATAATTTACATCTCTAGATAATGGCATAACTCCACTTCTTCCTCTCTCTCTGTACTTGAAAATGGCTCAACCAATTCTGCTCAAGCTTTCATAAAATCCACTCCAAACAATTTTCACACTAGGGAAGGAACCAAACATGGATCGTTTAAGACCAAAAGCAGAAAGTTATAAGCAACTGAAAGAGGCCTGTTAGGACAGGAAAACAGACAACGACCCCCCACACACACCTCTCCGCCCTCCCTCCCCCCCAAAAAGCCTATAGGGGCTCACTACATGTATGCTTACAACAAATCTGTCATTTTGAAAGCAGATAAACAGGACAACTCTCTTTTTAAACATAACTTTACCTCAAAATGTGATTGAGCAGATAGATTGTTATTGGCTGAGAACCCACAGCACAGACAGGAAGACTTTGTTTAGATACTATGGATATGCAGGGTAAAAGCTAAACAAACCACAGTGTAAAAGTTGCATACACCAGTCTGGCCTACCAAAATTGACAGTGCTTATGCCAACACTTCAGATCCTATCAAAACCAGCTCTCTGCATGAAGTTGTATCTCCCGCAGTTCACATGCATGCAAACACTAAAGATCACATTTCAGATAGGCACGCACTTTAATTAAGGAACTCAAGAGCAGTACTTTTTTTGTGACGTTCATTGGCAAGGGAAGCCACACAAAGATGTGAGACTGAGGTGAACTATACTCTAAGGGAGGCAATAGAAAGCTATCAAAATGTGATGAGACTTGGCAAGTTAAGCTTGGGAAAAATACAGAAGGTTATGAGAGACTGTTCTACAGTAGCCTTTCAATGGAGACAAAAATAAACCCAACTTGACTTGTGCTTAAACACAGAGAGGGGCCCAAAGCAAATACTTGGATTGAACAGTCTTGAATTCTGGGGCGTTCAAAACCCAGATTCAAATTCCACAGCTCAGCCTCATCTCGTTTGTAAAGTTATGAAGGGAAAATCTGTTCATCGGAGTAAGCTTTCCCACTCTTAGAGACCCCAAACACCAGAGTGCACAACATAAAGTTTGGAAGCAGACTTTGGGTGATTTTTTACACAATAATCAAAGAACTCAATAGCAGCAAAAAGCAGCAGCGTATTTCAACACCTGAAGTGGATAATAAATAAGTTGGCAGATTTTTTTTTTATAATGTCAACAGATAACATCTACATTTATTTTTAAGCATTTTTCCCCAATTTTTATCTATTTAAATTTTTCACAGTTGGGGCAATTATGGAGGAGTCAAACAATAACTATCTAAGGACAGCAGAGATTTAGATTCAAAAAGTTAAAGCTTTATAACCTCTAAATCACAGATTGTCAACATCATCTGTCAAAATATGCAAAGTAAACATCCTTAAATCAAAGTCTAAATAAGTCCTCAAGCAGCACTTTTCTAACTTTGCCTATCTGTACATTTCTGTTCTTATCTTTTTTCATTGGTTTGTGTGTGCTCAGTGAAATCGACATTTACTGATAAAAAACCTAAACCTTCCAAACCTAGTAATAAATCAGGAGGCAACCCACACCCATGCAAAACCAAGAGAGCTCACACAATAAGCTAGTGAGGTTTTAAAGAAACATTCTAAAAGCCATGTCTTTTATAAACACTCACCCTACCAATGACTTCTCTCAGAGCAAAATATTTGTCAGTGAGGTCCCCTGCTTCACTCAGTGGAGCGTCATAGTCATAACTAGTAGGCTGTGATGAATATGGCATGTTTGCCCCTGTGAAAATCAAAAATTAAGCAATTAAAAACAATTGATGGAGCTTCTCCAGTCCCCTCCCCAATGGGATAGTTTTTTAGACTTGTTTCTTTCCACCCACAAATTTCTTTGTTAATAGCAAGATCTCTAAGTCTAGTGGTTCAGGTTGGGTTCCCTTCAGGAAACCATCCCTATTCAGGACAGAACTTAAGCACTTGCTTACATTTCATTGAAGTCTGTCAGAGTTAAGCACATGCTTAAGGAACGCCCTGAATTGGAATGGATTTATGCATATGCTTAAGTGTGTTCCTGAATGAGGGCTTTGGATAATGAAGTGGTGATTAGCAGAGATGTAGTGCTGCTGAAGTATCGCTCCTGCACCTGAAATATAGGAGGTGATATGCTCCAGCACTTTTTAATTCAAGGACTCCTTGTCACCCAATCCTCCTTCCCCACTGGCATTTAAAATACTTATCTGTGTGTCTTAAGAAAATGAATATAGAATTGATTTAGGACATGGCGGACCTAGAGGCTGAAGGTTTAGACTGTGTGTAATTTGTAATATACTGTAAATGACAGGTGTAGGCCTCACCTGTAATTGGAAAGCAAGTCATTTTTTTCAAATTGTTCCTTACCATTCCAATAGGCAAAATTGGTTCCACCTATAAACATGTACCTAAAAAGAAAAACAAATAAAGCCAATCAAACCAGGCTTTGCTGACTGCCTCCTTACTCTCATTTTTCATTAAAAACAAATCCTCTCTTGAACATGCACTTACATGTTAACGTTAGCGCCACGTGCCAGGATTTCATCAAGAGTTTTAGCTATCCTATTTGTTGGCACAACAGAATGAGGGTGACCCCAGTGATCCAGCCAGCCAGTGTAGAACTCAGAGTTTACCTGCCCGGGGTGAAATGTGGAGAGTTGGGGAGAGAACATGAAAAGCAGGGGAGGGGAGTGGGGGGGAAAGAGTAATATAAAAAGGAAGCAATATCAGAATTGGAGGTTAAGTTATTTTAAGCTCAATTTATGTCATTAGCAATAAGAAAAAAAGCAGCTAAGTGCATTTGATTCATATTCAAATAATTACTGTAAATACAGTGAAATATGTTAAATGCCACAGGAGATGAGGTAGCCCTTTAGTTAAGATTAAGTCCTTCTCTCAGAGTGGCTAAGGCATCAAAATGGCTCCTAATCAGCTCACATCCCATTAACTTGTGTAAAAATCTATGCTAGTTAAAAACAGGATGCAGTTTTTTAACCTGCTCTATTAATTCTGCCTCTAACTTCCGCTCCCACACACACTTGACTCATTCATCTAAACATCTCTACTGCTTTGTACATACTTTCCTAGGCTTGGAAAAATCAAGACAAATTGGGATCTTCTGAGGCCAAAAAAATACTCCACAGAACAGCAGTCAGGGATTACAGAGCAGCAGCATGGAACAGACATGTACAGAGAAACTGTCCCCAACCTCTGCCTCACTATGAAACAAGAGTTCCAATGTCCCATGAACCCAGGCACCCCCAGCAGCACAAACAACAAGCACTGCTGCTGTCAACCCCTCGGTTTTCATTACTATCATAAAATTAAGAACATATGGAAATTTAAAAAAAAAAAACAAAAAAAACATACCAAGGGGCCTCTGGGTTCACTGCCTCTTTGAGTTAAAAATGCTGCTGTGACATTACCACCTGCAAATAAAAAACAAAACTGAGCTGCAATATTCATGCTATTTCAGTGCTTTGCCTTCAGCAGAAACTGGGATGCTGTACCGCTCTCCCCTGTATCAGCAACAACCTAGGTGGAAATCTGGGCCTAAATTTTCAGAAGAGGCTAGTGATTTTGTGTGCCCAACTTGAGGCAACAGAAATGGGCCTACTTATCTGAGTGTGGGTGCTCAGTGCTTTCTGAAAACCAAGCCCCTTTCAGAAGCCTCAAGCTGAACACCAGAACTAAGGCACCCAAAAATCACTTGTTATTTTTAAAAATGTAGGCCTTAGTTTAAAGTAGATTTATTTGTGGGAAGTGTAAAAGTCAGGGAATTGGCAAATCAGATTTGGAGTTTCACCTCTAAGTCACTGGTCTGAAAGCCAAGAGTGACTGAAAGTCATTACTATTTGATGGATGACCTCCAGGAAATGGGAGGTGTGAGAGATGTGGATTTTTTCAATTAATAAATGGACTGAGACTACAAACATACCTTACCACAAAGGACAATTCACAAGGGAGGTCCCAAGTTGAAGGCACTTGGAAACTGAACTACATTCACATTGGACTGAGGCCCAGGAAACCTCCCATACTGCCAAGGCATTATGGGATGACAAAGTCTCCTGTTCGGACTGGGCACTTTTCACAAGCATAACACTCACTTAATTCTGCACGCTTACAATACCACAGATTGGGGCAATGTGTCCCATTTTAACTATGTTCTGCAGCACTAGATTTTCTTCAGAGTAACGCAAGGTGATAATCTGATGGAGCTGAAATTTGGGCTGGACTAAGAGCCCTTGGAAAAACTGCTGAGCACTGCTATATTTTTTCAGTAGGTTTGCATTGTAAAGAGACCAGACTGGTCCCAGAGGAGAAGCCCTCGTGAATCGCACCAGCTGGCTCCCTCTATATGTTTAAGAATATATCAAATGACAATATGTAGATCACCACTTAAACCCAGGAGTCAGGGAGACCATCAACTTAGCTACAAGCGAACAAACATTGGCCTAGTTATCTTGCTACGAACAGCTGCCACTAACCTGGTGCAAAGTCCACCGTTGCATAAAGACCCTGCAGAGCTCCACATCTCAAGTAATGTTTGCTTGCCCCATCTGTTGTAAACAGTACCACCTCATCTCCAAGATGGTGATGGAAGAGCTTCTGAAGGTAACGAAGGTAATCGTAATCACAGGCAAAGTAGCTTCCATATTCATTTTCAACCTATGCAATAAAAATAATAGATCAGCAGCAAAGCTGACATTTGATAACCAGGCCTGCACCCTTCACGGGGAGACAACTTTTCATATTGAAAATAGAAAAGCCACTCAATGTGACACCATGAAAGCCTGACCTAGATTGCCTCCTCCTTGCAGAGAGACAATGAAAGCCCAACAGAAACTCCAGAGAAGATGCATGGGATGAGGGGAGAAGATGCCACACCGGCAGCATCATTCTTCTCACCTCCCAGAAGCCTGTCTTGCAGGAGCTCCACAGCTATCTGGAGAGGGGTTGTATCCCAAAGCATCAACCTCCCAATTCTACAAGAATGCCCTGGCTTAGCTAATGCTGGCTTAAACAACGTTAGTCTAAGCGCTGTCTCACTCGTAAACGGTGTGCCCCAAGTACAACAGACAAAGCTCTATTGTAGCTCTGCTAACATGGGGATGGGAAGAGATGTGTTAATTTTGATGGAATAAATGGGCCTACAGAGTCAAAGAAGTTAAACACGATCCTGTCACTGCACAACACTAGACAGTTGAACCCCCGAACCATGTTTAAGTACAGAGATCTCGGCCTGCTTAGTCCTGTGGCAAATGCACCAGTATTAAAAAAAATCTTTAAACCTTTTACTAAAGATACTGAAAAGGAAAAAAGGTAATAGCATTTGAAATGCCCAAATTAAAGCCTGACTTAATACTTTACAATATCCCTTATTCCCTGTAGAGAGCTTTTATAGGGGAAAAAACCCATTTGCCAGTTTTTAGATAGTATCAACTATTCTTTTTGAGGAACAGAGAAGCATGTTGAGATGAACTGGAGCTGTTGTTATTGCTGCTGTTGCTGAAGTCCGACCCTGTTTAAGTAAAGCGAAAACAAGGCTCACATGCAAAATGGGAGTGAAAGGAACAGCAAAGGTAGAAAATGCAACTTCTGTCTCTGGTGCTGATTTTCACTTGCAATCCCACTGCTGGAGAAACACAGGCCCAGCACACAGTCATTCCAAGACCTGGAAAACTTGTAGCAGCAGTGGGTTGTTTAAGGCATTGCTTTTGGTTGCCTTACTGGGCACAGGCTCATAGCATTGTTGCAAGAGATGCTGTCTTGTTTGGCTAAGCCAAACTCTTAGTAAACAGAAGGCAAAGGAAGAGAGAGAGGAAAAAGAAGAAATAAGGTGGGGAAGGAGGACACATGGAGCGCAGTGACAGCAGAAACCAAAGTTCCATATGCCAGGTAGCATTAGGGATTTAGCCAGAGGTGGTGGTGTCATCTGGGTCCCTCTCTCTGGCCTGGACTGGTCAGGACCTCTCTCAGAATCAGGATGGTGAAGGTCTAACAGAGTCATGGCACATTCCAGGGTCCCTGGAGATGGTGGGGTTGGCAGTCATGATAACAAAGCTCGCTCCTTTCAGTCAACCCATCTTCTAGCCTATTTGAGCCTCCCCAAAGTCTCTTTTTAAGTACTCCAAAAGGGAATAAAGGGTGGAGTAACCCATCCCCTCATTATTTTGTTCACCAATTAGGCCTAATTTCCAACATACCAGTTTTAGTTAATTCATTTCTGGTTCCATTCGCCTCTTGTTTACCAATCGTGATATTAACACAGTCCTTGGGTGGTATTATTAGACCTTTTCGCTTAGTCTAACCCAGTATTTTTGTCTCGCTTTTATATTTTTTTATAAAAACAACGGTAACAAAAATTCAACTCAAACTATTATAAAGAGTTGTTTTTATGGACATATCCATGTAATGTTATAGGCCTAGTGTGGATGAAGCGTACTTGATGTGAGTTGCATGTTGACAACCGAAGCAAGAATTTGAGGTTTTAAGCAGTCAAGAGTTGTTTGTGAAAAATAACTTTATTATGAGATAGATAAGGAAATATTGGGAGCGTTGCCATGCCAATGTATCTGCTGCAATTGTAAACCAGAACTGGGGAAAGAGGAACATCTTGGGCCTGGGACTGTTTCTAAACATCTTGGGTTTTGGCAATTTGCCCAGGACTGTCTCTTTAAAATTGCCCACACAACTGATGACATGACGGAGTGGATTATAAATGATGTTCGATACACTCACAATTTGGAGTCATTCGTGGATCCAGAGCCCTGTTTAGTTTAAGATGTGGTGCACAACAACAGAGCTCTAGAGGAGTTCTGGAGCCAGTGCAGGGAGGCCAGAGTTTCCATGGGGATGGCTAGGGACTGCACTTCCCCAAGGATTTTGGCAGCTGTATAACTTTTGGCGAGTAGGATCCTCAGCTAGATCCACAGGAAGGAACCCCTTGTCCTGCCCCTAAGCCAAGGAAACAATGCCAGGGAAACACCTCAAAGGAAACTTCTGAATTTCCAATTATTCCTGCACAGAGGGCAATTTGGCCCAAAATGTTTTATTGAATACACACACACCGTACATAAAGTAACTTGAAGATTGTGTTTTATTACACATTTTGCCTGCGTGATGGGGCGTCTGCCCCACACTGGTGGAGAAAGGATTAAAAGCAGCCCTGGGGAGGCTGCGCAGCAGACAGCCTATCAGTGAGGGGCTGCAAGGAGCAGCCAATCAGGGCAGAGAAGGTTCATATATAAAGACAGCTACAGGGCAGAGGAGTCAGTTCCCTCTTGGGAGCCCAGGCAGAAAGGACTGGGTCCCTGAAGGGCTGAGGGAACCGCCAGCACCCTGAATAGAGCAGGGCTGGGTTAGGGGAGCAAGAGGGAGCTCCAGCCTGACTGGCTTAAAGACTGAAGCCCGGATATAGGGGCAGAGAAGGTGCTAGGGCTACGGGGAAGTGGCCCAGGGAAATGGATGGTGGGGGGTTAAGGGAGACGCAGTGCATGGCTGCCGCCTAGAGGGTCCCTGGGTCGGGACCTGGAGTAGAGGGTAGGCCCGGGTCTCCCCCCCTCCGCCCCCCACTTGCCACTGAGGGGAGTGGCCAGTGAAGGGCTGCAGTTTGCCAATGAGGCAAGTGGCTGGACAGAGGACTGCTGCTCCCCCGGAAGTGCGGGGGCGGGGGAATGGAATGGGGCACGGCCGGAGGGCTGTGTCCTGAAGAGGACATCGCAATCCTTGAGGCGACGTGGGTCCGGAGCAGAAGTGATGGCAGGCGAGACACCACCGGAGGAGGGCGCCCTGCGATAAGACTGAGCTAATTCCCAGAACGACCAGCAGGAGGCCACAATGACAGCCTGTAGGCATAATAACTCCACCCTTGCTGATGTGTCAGAGTGGCCTCTCATCCCGTCGCACAAGAGTCAGGGAGTTTCAAATAACCTGTGCTCAGCTACGTTCTCCACGTTGCGCTCTTAAAGAGTTTAGGAAAGTAAGCGACTTGCATGCATGCATAGTAAGGTATTTTCAAGTGTTTCTAACTAAACCAAGTTTCCTCAGAAACTTGACAGAGGCACCACTCTCCATTGCCTACACCAAGACTGAGGATTAAGAGTCAGCTTGAATGATTCCTTATTATTAGAATTACTGTTTGTATTGTGGTGAAGGCTAAAGCCCTCAGCCGCGGTCATGGCTGCACTGTGTTAGCACACTGTAAGATCTTCAAGACTAGGGACTGTCTAAATGTAGAAGAGGAAAGGTGTCTCTCAGGCTTACCTGAATCAATTACCAAAGTCTGAACAGAAAAATAAAATTAAGAAAATAACCCTCTGGCCAAGACTGTGAAATTTCAACCCCAAAAGGTAGCCAGGAGGCAATTCAGGCGGGGCACGTTGTTCTGATTGTTAATCACATAAAAGCAGCTCGGTAAGCACTTCTACTTGATTGTTCTCACCTTCCACGTCTGCCTCCGCTTCACTTCCTTCACCTAGGGCTGAAGCTTCAGTTGAATTCTGCCCTTCTTAAAGGGGCCCAGCTGACACTGCAGGCTTTTTAATTAAAAAGAGCAAGTCTATCATTTGCAGTGCAAGCTTCCCCATGTTAAGCCATCCATTGGCCTCAGCCATGTTCTGGAGAGTCCATCTGAAGTCAGGAAGGTAATAAGTTCTCGAAAGGCAAAGGCATGAATTGGTAGGGGGACTGAGCAACGATGCCATTTGTGATGAAGACACTACTAGGGACCTGACTGAGATGAGGAACTCATTTGTCATAGATCCCTGAACAGCTTTCAGATGATAATATGTTTCTCTCACTACTAATTCATTTATTGATAGGCCTTGGTATAGCCGCCAGCATCACAGAACTGGAGTGATTTTTGACTAGCTATCAACAGACTTTCTCAAGCTATTTCAGAGTCCGGTATATGGATACCTGGTTAAAACTGCTAACTTTTGCCTTTAGCAGATGATTTGTCTTAGCTTTGACTCTATATCCCCTAAGTGTAGTCATAAATAGTGAGTTTGGGGCTCTTGCAAATTATCTCAGCCAGTTTCTTAAAATGTAAATATATAATAAGTTGCAAAAGCTTTCTTTAACAACAAAAGTATAATTCATAAAGTGCTAATGTGGTTATGAAAATAAAGCAGTTCATAATATTGAAGTATCAGGGGGTAGTCGTGTTAGTCTGTATCTACAAAAACAACAAGGAGTCTGGTGGCACCTTAAAGACTAACGGATTTACTTGGGCATAAGCTTTCGTGGGCAAAAACCTCACTTCTTCAGATCTGAACAAGTGAGGTTTTTACCCACGAAAGCTTATGCCCAAGTAAATCCGTTAGTCTTTAAGGTGCC